CATCTGGATGGAGACCTGTGCCCACAGCGCCCCCATTCGGGTGGAGGTAGACATCTGGATGGAGACCTGTGCCCACAGCGCCCCCATTCGGGTGGAGGTAGAACTGCACTCACAGTGTCCCCATCCAGGTGCACAGAGAACTGCGCCCCCACCTGGGCTGAGAGTGAACTGTGCTCATGGTGCCCCCAAGTGCCTCAGAGGAGAACTGCACTCCACAAGATCCTCAATGGCTAGTTCGTCCCAGAGACTGCCAGGCATTTCTTCCAGGACGCCTCTGGGCGAAGGCAAACTGCATCTGGGCATGCTCACCACTGGAATGCCCAGGCCCTCCATGTGGACAGCACTGAGTCCTGAGCACAGCACAACAAAAACAAGCAGCCCTGCTCCATCCTCACAGCCTGCCACTGTGGGATCTGTCTCACCAGGAGACTGGGGTCAGGAAGACCCTGCAGCTAGGATTCGGTCCAGGTCCTGCCCCACTCATCACTGAGCCACACCACCCCACATCCTTCTCACCACACCTGTCGAGGAGCAGCCATGCACCTGGGGTCCTGATGCAACAGATGTGATGCTTGCCAAGACCCCAACCCCAAATGACAGAAGGTACCCCAGATTTATGAGCCAGGAGAGCTGAGGCCAGGCCAGGCCACATGCGGCTGGAAGGGTAGTTCTGGGCACAGCTGGGTGCTGCCTGCCCCGTCACCCTCCTGCTGCCCCTGTCCTCCACAAGGACACTAAGACATCTCACCACTGTTTCCTGAGGACACCTGTAAGAACGGGTGGGGTCCCCCGACTTGCCTAGGGTGTCACCAGCTGGGGGGATGTGTTGAAGTGTGGGCCAGAGGGAAGTGAGTGCACAGGCAGGCCTGTAGGGTGGACACCATGGGCAAGGAGTGTGTGGTGGGCAGGGGACACTCCCAGAGAGGGCAAAAGGCAGAGGGTGGGACCCCGGGGACCAGGTGGAGTGCTGCTGAGCCCCTTCTCCCACACCTCTCTGTCTCTCCGTGAATCTGCCCCCTATCTTGTGTTGATGGCCCCCAGGTCCTCGCCTGACTGGTGGTCACTCACAAATGTCATGACCCTTCCAGGTCCAGCACCCCACCATCCTCCTCACATCTCTCCAGAAGCGGTCCAGCACCCCACCTTCCTCACAGTCACACTCCCCTGAAGGAAGACTTCCCAAGATCTGAGTTAAGAAAAGCAAGTGGACAGTGTCTGCAGTTTCTGGCCTGTGCTGGGGATGCCTGAGCGTGGCCCACACCTCTCTCCCCCTGAACTCTGCCCAGGGAGGGCATTTTCAGCCTGTCCCTGCCACACTGGACCTAGAAGGTCCCCCAGCCTGGACCTGTACTGGTGCCATCGGAGTTACCTTCCCCTTGAAACCCAGCCGTCAGGAAGTCCCGGCCGGGCTGCTGTGCGCAGCTGGGGACACAGAAAACCTGGCTTTGACGCCAGGAGAGCCAGACACAGAGGCGCACAAACAGCGGCGCCCGCCCGCGATCCCAAATTAGAATCTGCAGAGAGGCGTGAGTCTCACCAGCGAAAAATAGCTTCGTTTGGAGGGGTGCGCCCAGCCTGCGTTGTCAGCATGAGGAGAAGGGGGGCCGGAGGCCCAGGGGCACATCATCCACCCCACAGTCACAGTGGGACATGATGTATGTGAAGACCACTCCTTGGGTGTGAGGTGTTGCATCTTGGCCTGCTGGCAGATAGCTCGGTGGTTCTAGTGCCCCAGCCGCACTGCGGGAGAGAAGGGGAGTGTCTTCCTGTGAGGATTTCCAATCTCAGAAGTCCAACGAGGGCACCATGGGTCGTGAGCACCGGTGTGGGGTTCCCAGGACAGCCAATGTGGTGCTGCAGATTTCAGGACCGTGCCTCCTGAGACAGCCAGTGTGGTGCTGCAGATTTCAGGACCGTTCTGGGCTTTTAAACCCACAGTACCCACCCACTGCCTTCCAGGCTCTTCTCACACCTGGCCCCTGGCATCAGGGTTCCCAGGCCTGCAGTGCGTGGGAGCAGACCGCCTCGCCTCT